AGAATGGTCATTTCAAGAAAGCCCGATTTTATCACGATTTACCTCCACGTCAAGAGCGTGAGCATTGTATGACAGAAGAGTCCTTTGTCCCCGCTCTGGCCATGCTTCCGTCTGTCGAAAAGGATCTGGAACAATACTCAGAGCCAAGTACATACGACAAATATAGCCCCAGCTGCAGGAGCAACTCAGTGGAACGATGTTTCTCGAAGGCAGTTTCTTCGCCCAGCTCGGGGCCGACAACTCCAGGTCTTGATGTCATTGATCCACGAATCCTCAACTCTCCTAAGTTTGACAGGGATAATGCGCACCAATCTTGTGTTCAAGCTGCCATGCAATCAAACTCGCTCACTTTCCCACCAAAAGTCTGTGAGGCCACCAAAATGCCTGTCAGTGGTAAGAACCAGCCGCATCCTCCTGTTTTAGGCTTTGCCAATCAGCCTGTTGGATACTATGCTGTCACTGAAACCACCGAGAAGAGGAAAGATTTGCAAGACTCCCTCACCTCTTTGTCTAACTGTGAACAAGCTACTGCGGACTTCAACGGCGACAGTCATTCACTAACACGCGAAGAAGGCGGCGGGCAAAACCTGCCTTGCGATGATCAAGTCCCTCGCAGCAGCCCTCGCAGAGCCCTCGCTAGAATCAAGACACAAAATCAGACGCCTCAGCATCATGCAGATGGTTTGAGCAGTTGTAAACCCCGCCAGAGGTTTGATGCGAAGAGCAAACGGAAGTTGCGTGATTTACAGAGGAAGAATTTGACCCTGAGGCAGATCGGACCTCATTTTGCGGATGTTGATATGGCGTTACTGCGACAGGCTTGGATGGAATTGAAGCCTTCTCAGAGATGCACCCGATCTCGGGCTAATTTGAAGGGCAACTAGACCGTCATTCAGTCAATGATATTCAGCTTGTATTGGATTGTTCTGCGATTGTAAAATTCAACCAGTCGGGGAGTCTGACCCTTTGCCGACCTTTTAGAGATGAATTCCTTGCCGCACCATTTAAACATTCCTGGCTGTGCGAGAAAGAGAAATCATAAAATAAATGAATGGCTCAAATGCCTGCAGAAATCACACTCGTTCTACAAAGAGTAAATGTGGCGTACGTAAAGTGTGTGGTGTTTGCCCCACGAGTTTTAAAGGCAGCAAGTTCGAAGCATGGTGAGCTTCCTTCTCACTTCGGCTTGCAAATACACCTCAGTATGATGATATATTTATTTTCAGTGGTATTTGTTCAGATCTATCCTGAGAATGCAGTCGGCAAACAAGGTAACAAGACCGTTGAGGTGACAACTCAATTGTTGGCTGTTACGGCGAAATCCTAATACAGGCAGCAAGTTACACGGAAACAATTGGTTACATTACAGCTACATAATCCGCACCGCCACAGGTGACCACAAAAGCTTAGTAAGTAATTATGATGGGTACTGTAAAGTACCGTGTATGTTTTAAGTTGTATTATATTACAGCTCCTGAGTGATCTGCGAAGTATTGAATCTCCCATTATTTTAAGTAATTTACTTTCTTAGCCTAGGATAGCCTTCTAAAGATAACGATGCCCATATCAAACCTCAAAGCACTTATGGCGAAACCCAACTTTGACTTCAGTCACACATATAGACGGAATTGCAACTTCTATAATTGGTCTGTGGACAAAATTGATGAAAAATGCATTGGACCGATTTACGAGTTTGAAATGGTTACGTAGAACTTCCTCATCCTAGGAGCGCATGCTGCCCTCCTGGGAACTTATTGGCGCCCAGGAACCCCACTGGATACTCCTGGAGACGGCCTTCCTATCCCAGGAATGGGCGCATGGTTCCCAGGAACCCTTAATTTCCACGAATCCACATGAAGACGGGTTTACATTCCAGAATTCGAAGCACAAAGTATATTGATTTCCGCTGAGCTGTGGGATTAATGGCTTGTTCAAGTCAACCCCAAGAGTTAAGGCACGACTCTGCACCCGCCCCTTAATCCTAGTATAGAAACTAGAGTTCCTAGGAGCCGGGTGGCTCGCACTTGACATGCTGACATTATAAATCATAGTGCGCCTGAGTATTTCAAAGAGCGATTCCTCCCCATATCATTTCACAAATTCTCAACCTCAATTCCTTTCAAGCCTCTTTCCTCTACCATTCACTTTATTGACTCTGCGATTATGTTGCTTTTGGGAATTCCACTGGAAACATTATGGTGGATTGCTAAATCTCTCGACACAAAAGACCTTCGAAGCCTGTGTCTGGTATCTACAGACTTTAACTCTATATTCAGAGAGAGGCTCTTTGACTGCATCGACTTTGGAGAAACTCCACCGATTCACTGGGCGATCGAACATAGATGCTTAGGCATCGTCCGATACTTGATGCATTGGAA